TTTATTTTATGTCTTTGAATATTGTCAAATATGTAAGCAATATTTACATTAAAAAGTTAACACTTGTTCCTCCAAGATACTTTAGTGTGAGGGTGGCACATATCATATTTTATAAACTTTTTTTTTTTGTATATTATCTTCTTTTAATCTTATTTTTTTTAACACACCACATTTATTTCGGACAAACACATTTAATAGAGCTGACAGTAATATAATAAGAACTATTCAAGTGTCACAATATATTTCTTCGTTAAAACAAAAAAAAAAAAAAAAATTGAACAAAACCGTTTAAGTATTTTATTCTAAACATATCTTAACTACGATGTTATAAGGTAGGACATCCATCAACTGGGACACAAGTTGAATGAATAAAAAACTAAAACGAAATATATATATATATATATATATATATGCATACAAATAATATACATTATAATAGTTTTATTCTTCAGAAATAAAAGAATAAGCCTGTCGTTTATTTAGGAATTATATTACTTTTTTTTTTAGGTAAATCGACATTTATAAGTACAGATTAAATCCACTGAATAATATTGGTATATAGCTTGTTCCCAATACAACACTGTTTATTAAGATATTCATAGATTCGTTTCTAGGTAAAAGTTATGAATAACATTTTATTGAATACTGTCGACTAAAAGTTATAAAATAAAACAGTCTAACATACAATATTATGGCTAAATTTTAGTTATATTCAATAATATATTCCCGTTTCTCTGTATGAAAAATATAAAATAAAAACGTCAAATATATTTTTAATACCTCTTACTTTTTTTTTCGTATTCCCTTTCAATTTTTTTTTTTTTTTTTTTATATGAATGATAATACTAAAGATTGATTTTTATCTTTTAAATATTTATAAATGTATATATTTTTACAAAATAATCGTTCATATAGTTTGTATTATTTTCGTTACGTTATAAAAACTGTTAAATATATTATTAGATCACTTTTTAAAATATCTATGTTATATTATTATTTATAACAAATAAAATAGGTAATACGAAATTATATAATACAAATTGTGTACGACCTATTACGTTATATAATAGATTAAATTTGTGTTTTTAAAATATATGATTACAAACAACAACAAAATCTTAAGTTGATCCTAAGATTTCCTAATTATTTTATTTACGAAAGACATTACATTGATACTTACACTTTTGTAGAATAGAATATTAATAAAATTTTAAACTCAACTCGATCCTTATTGATCTTACTATATTAGTTATTTTTTTTAAATAATTGAAGTATTATAACTAAGTTTTAAACTTTGAGTTAAAGTAATTTATTTTTAATTAAATCTTAAACAAGTTATATGGTCTTAAATAAATTATTTGTATGTATTTATGAATACATTTTTTTTTCAGATAAATTATTAAGTTCTATGATTTTTCTTTTTATAGATATTACCAAAATAATAAATTAGCGTTAATTAAAAATATTTATAGAAAACTATTCGTAGCTAATTCTTTTCGTAGACATGTAAACCAATTCAAAACTGGTTCTTCTTCAAGTAAAAAAAATATTATTCATAATTCTTTCAGGGTTAATTTATTGAAATTACACAAGTTCCGTTATCACAGTATTTTATATATATTTATTTATTTTTCTACAAACGCCGGATGAGAGAAAGTAAATTAAACAAGCGATTTTCAACATTATCATTAATTAAATACTTACACAAGTTGAATTTTATAAAAATTATGTGAATATATACAATCGAAAATCAGTTTAATAATTTTAGTCAGAATTTCAAACAAGCTTTTATTTATATTTTTTTCTATTTAAAACTTTTCACGCGAGGGTCGTTTTCAAATAAAAGGTTTCGTTTCCGTCTATGATACCATAAAACATGTCAATGAAGTACTAAATCACAAAATAAATAAATAAAATCCAATCGTTTATAAATTGATTTATTTATGTTGGACATTTTTACAACAAAGGTTTTTTTAAAATTTTTTTTTTCGTTTTTAACGAATATTATCAATCAGTTACTTGAGAATTATTTGGATTTACTCCACACGTAAATCTTAATAATTTCTCTTATTTTATTCTATTCATTAGATTAATCGTGATCAACATAGTTGACAGATTACTACAGTATCAATTTCCACCAAACTATTAAATATTGTTGAAATTATAATAAACAATTATAATTTACTGACCTGATATATACACATAATATATTATATTAATCTGTACGAATGTAAAATAAATATAAACGTGGTGAAGAAAGCAAATCAAACAAATAATGTTATTTTAATTCAGTGAATTGTATAAATAGTGATCTATAAAATGTTTTAATAGTTTTTAATATTAGTGACATATGCACATTAAATACTTTATGATGTAATATAATGTTTTACGATGAACAAGTAATGTCTCGTTACACGTTTTAAATCTTAGTTTTGTACATTTGAAAAGAACCAGGATTAATTTTATTACAGTTTTAATATTGTTTACAACAGGATAGTGTATATATATTATATATACATATATATATGTTATTGTATAATAATTTTATCATAAGCACACTTGGCATGATAAAATAAAAACGACAAACTGTCGGGTTTAAAGAGTTTCTTTTTTTTATATATAAATACGATTGATCAAAAAATAAATATTCTTGATAAACATAATTTTTCTCTTGAAATTTATAGTTTGTATGGAATTATGAGTGTCAAAAGGCTTAAGTAAATTTAATATTTTTATTTTTATTGATCTTTCACAAACTTCACATATTTATAAATTTGCTTTGTGCGATTCATTGTGTTCATATAATATAAATATGTTTAAGTGGTATTTATTTTTATTTTTACATACATAAATATTTTTTTCAATAACTAAAATTTATAAAACGCTTGTAAAAAAAAAAAAAATAATACCTTATGAATATTTTAAAATTATTAAAAAAAAACATGGTATAGAATTTAGATAATTCTATACATTTAATGCTTTATCTCAACTATAAGTAAAAACATTAAATTGCAATAATGGTTATATAAATGTATAAAATTCTTTTATTTTTTATATAAATAACAATGGAATATTCTCAGTTATAGATTAAACGGAAAGCAAGGTCTTTTGTCCTGTACTCTCCGTTTGCTAATAATTAAACGGCATTTTGTATTTAATCATTTCCTCTACATATGAACTCTACGAGTACTTACGAAGATATTGTGGTTCATATTATTCAAAAAATATTTATTAATATTTATTGCATGCAATGTATACCATACTTATGTAAGACACGTGTTATGTTTTTATTAATATACTTCAAATTCTTTTGAAAGAATTTTTGAACGAATAATAAAGTTATACTTGGGTATATTTGATATTTTATCTAACGTTATTATACGATGTGTAACATTTTAGAAATAATAATTCTAGTTTAACAATAATACTATTCAACTTCATATTATAATTCTTATTTATTTTAACCAGAGGAAAAAATCTAATCAGGAATTTATTTACTCTAAAATTATTCTGGTGTTTTTTTTTTTTTTTTTTTTAATTTATTTAAAAAAAATTGTAATTAATTTTAGAAGTATTTAAAACAAATTATTATTTTTTTATTTTCAATAAATTCTGAAGTGTTTCAATTCAATATTCCAAACATTTTTTTTTTTTTTTTTTTCGTAATATATGAATGTGCTTAGTCATACTATGTTGCAGATTAAGTAAAAACAATTTATTTTAAATAGATAATTAATGATATTTTTTAATTAAAAAATCTTATACTTGAGTTAGATGGGTAGAAAATTCATATTAACTTTTATTTTTCTACCTACGCGTGTGTGTTACTGAAGTAGGTACTGCTTAACGGTTGGACTGATTTAGATTAAATGTTTTGTGTGTGTTTAAGCGGATATTTGGGAGATTTAAATTTACAATTAGATATAGTTGGTGGCGTTGCAATCAGATTCTAAGAAATGTTGACATAGATATTTTTTAAATAACACATGTGTAAATTTTAAATGCAAATAATCTCAGGAACCACTCTTCCGATGGGCTCGCAGTTTTTTTTTTTTTTTACTTTAAAATAAAAGATTAAAATAACACAATGTGAAGTTGGTTTTAAGCATAATTTTATGGACCTATAAATTACCTATAATACACCACTAATAAAAGCTAACAGATTATTTCCATTCTTAAATCTATTTCCATTTTTTGTGGGGTATACGATTGATAAATAAGTAAATATAATTATATAGTAACAAAAGTAGAAAATACAATAAAATAATCGTTTACAATGCAAGTTGTTTTTAATTATGACACATGATTAATGTATGCTATAATATTTTTTTTTAAATAAAATAACCGATTATGAACAATATTTTCGTAATTATTAACAACAATATTAAATGTATTATTATTGTTATGTGTTAAACGTAATTATGATAAAACTCAGATTTTTGATGATTTTAATTCTTGTTAATATTATCATAGCAAACGAAAAACACGCTTCATAGGCAGTACCAATAAAATCATTTATCATTCATTTTCTATTTATTTAATTTAAATTTGATTTACTAGTAACACATGGTAATAGAGAATGAATAGACACTTATTCCCTTTCTCTTTTATTATTGCACTTCTAAAAAGCCATTGCCAATTAAATAAATGAGCGAGAAATTATTGCATTAGTTATGTATATCTCTATCATATTTAATTTATGCATTTATTAAGTTTTGTATTTACTGTGATTAAATTTATTCGGTTTGTTTAATAACGCAAACTATTTATAATAAGAATACCTAATATTTTTAGCTACAAATTAAGAAGCAAAAATATTGAATTGTTTACAAATAAATTCTATATTATTAAAATATCTTTGCAAAATTATTGAAGTCTTTTCCTTTTTATTGATTTCACTAATTAAATATAAATTCCCATATTTTGATTAATTCCACACTAATTATATACTCTCTTCGAATTCTCCATTATTTAAATTGTATTGTTTTTGTTTTTTATAGGGGAAGATAAAATGCGACCTCTATAGGAGGTTTAACGGGCAGTGATGCTGTTTTTCACATTTATTATCTGTATAATAGCCATCAACAATGTTTCATCGAAAATAGGTAAGCTGAAAGAATTAATAGACTATTTTGCAATTAAAATCTAGTATAACTAATTTTTGCGTACAATTATCCATTTTATCTGATCCTTTTTATTCACTTTTTTACATTAAATTTCCATCAAACTGATAAGCGTGTATTAAAGTAGGTATCGAATGGCAAGATTGCAAGAATGAAATGAAACTTACAAAATTAATTTAATAAAATATTTGGTTGTGTTGTTAACTTATTTTTAGATATTGTGTTAGTGATTTCAGTCATTTGTATAATAGTATGAGGTGACTTCTACAATATAATAAACTTCAAATTGTACATAAACAAATAAAAATTGTGCGTTTCACGTGAAGTAAACACGTAGAGTAAATTTTATATAGAACAATTATTTGTAGTAAAAATTATTTAAAAAAAAAAAAAAAACTGTACAATTTAGTGTATGTAAGTTGTAAAGTATTGAAATTCTAGCACTGCGTTAGTCCATACATTTAGTATGTCGGAATATTTTTAATACACTTAAACTACAATTTTTTTTATTCCATCGTCGTTATGATAATTATGATTGAATTTTCTAATATATTTTTAAAAACTTCAACAAAAATATCACATTGATGATAATATATGTAATATACATATATACGCACGATTCAATAAAAGTGTAATAAAAATAAATGCATTTTAATAATTACACAATTTTTGTTCAAATATTTAGTTTTTTAAATAATCTTGCAGTACTATGGCATTAACAATAACCTATTATGATTTGGTTATATAGATAATTTTAAGTAATAATTATAAAAATTAAGTACTTGAAAAATAATTTTTGAGCTATTTTATATTATTGAACAGTAAACTGAAAATTATTTCATAATTCTAATTTTTAAAGATTTAAATTTACTTACATAAATTGAAGTTGGTGCAAGAAGTTATCATTACTAATAAGTATTTGAAATTAAAATAAACAAAATATTGAACCAACTTTTTAATGACTACATCTGTATTAATTATTTTAGGTTATCTTAATATTAAATGGTTATAAATTAGAAATTGAAAACAATACATTTTATATTTAAATTTAAATGTTGAAATTCCAAGAAAAATTTTCAAATTTTAGTTTTTTTTAATTTAATGAAATTAAAAATATTATGCTATTTATAGTTTATACAAATTAAATAAAGATAATAATGATACAAATAATAAAATCATAATTGTTTTAAAAAATAATTAAAAAGTATTTTTAAAACTTTTAATAAATTTAAAAAAAAAAAGTGAGTGTTTACTCTTAAAATAACCAAATTGTATGTAAAATGTATAACTATAATGTATCTATATTAAATTGATTTTGTCTGAATTAATAAATAAGCTTAAATTTATTTTAATAGTATAAGGTTTGGATTCTTAATGACAAACCAAAGGATATTACAACAGCAGATTTTCAAAAAATATTGTTTAACCATCAATTAGAGTTATAAGGTTGGAACTTGGAAGATCACTTGAATACATAGATCACTATTAAATAATGTTAAAAATACGTATAAAAATATATTACATGGAGAACGAGCTTTTTTAATAATCTTATTATGTTTTCTATTACCTCCGACAATAAGACCGATAAAAGGTTTTTCTCTGGAAAAAAACTGCGTTTAGATTTAAATTAATTTTATAATTTAACGTGGAAAACTAATATTATATCGGTCGTTATATCGTTTTACTAATTATTAAGCTTAAACCAATCGTATGTGTTTTTGTATAGTTTTACATGCGGAATACGGATCTTCGATTCGAAATATAATGCAAACGAACCACGGCGATGGTTAGAAAACAAAATACTACATCGCTGTAATAATATAATAATTTTACGCTGCATAGGCCATACGTAATATATCATTAGAAAATGTGACATATTGTACATAAATTCAACAATTTATTAAGAGGCTTAGAAACGCTAGCCGACCGGCGTCATATCGGGTAAACCTCGTGGTGGTGGAATAGTATTGCGTTTAAACCTAACATAATGCAATGTCGTATATTAATATCCGATTTCGAGAGTTTCTTCGTCCGTTACTGCCGCCACCGACCAGCACATATATAATATTAAATAATCGGATGCGCTTCCACCACCACAATCACACACACTACTACCATTACCGATCTAGCTGTATACATAATATTAAAATATAATACTGTCGTCTGCGGGAGAAGTCACTATTTTTCATTTAAAGTACGCAATTGAGGGCGGAAACGATTCCGGTCACCCGCCTACCTTGTCTTGTCACTCCGCTATCTCGCTCTAGTGTTATTATTATTATAAAAACTAAAGTATGAAAATAACTCCACCAAAATCCGTTTATTCGTCTTTGCCTCTATCGTGACGTTGACATAATTATATCGTTGATTCTATCTCTCTCTCTCTCTTTATTTATCTATATTTATCTATATATCTTTCTTTTTTATTCGAAATAACCTTGTTACTTTATACGTGTCTGTCAAGCGATGATATTTTTAATTTTAATTGCAAACCATTGGCACGTGGGATATTTTCTTTCGAAAATAAAAAACTAAACAGTCACAACGACGACGGCAATGCTACTGCACGCAAGTGCGAAATACTGGAAATATTTCATAATAGTATAACGACGAAAAAAATCTTCATGTCACACATTTTGTAAGGTGAGTTATGTATACGTAAGGTACTGTCCATACAATATACGAACTGTTATTATATTTCCCAAGACTAAAATTTATTAAATTCAGAATTCTTATGACATAATTCTCTGCTTGTATTAATATGAATATGTGTGTCATAATGTTAGTGTATACTTCCTTATAATTTTATCGTAAAATGGTTATGATTATTATATTTTTACGGAAAAAAAATCATATAAAAAGATTAATTATGAGAGGAAATAACATCGATTAAATAGATTGTATGAAAACATAGAAAACTCATTCGGTTACCCAACTCCTTCGATTGTTTTAAAGATAAATCTTATTACATGTACGACAAATTTAACCAGCAAAACTTTAAACAACTTTTAAACGAAATCTTTCTTCACTACGCTTACTATATTCTACTCCAACAACAGCTGGTTGAGCCTTAAGTCATGTGCGCACTATATATACACGGAGAATCAAGACGACATATTAAACACATTAGATACTCTGAGTTTGACAAATTTCGACCAAGAACTTTAATGGAGCGAAAGTTGCTGTCGTGTCATAGTCGCGCATCGAATTCCTGACGAATTTGCTCCCGAGACATTTTTAAAATACGCCTTAAGTCACTGCGCTGATTTAGATTGAATACTTTTACTCATATCGATTATTCTTAAGGTACCAGCAGTTGTAGAGAACTAGAGACGCATATCAAGCGCTTATAATAAATTATTCGAAGAGAATTTTCTACTTTCTCGAAACAACAACATATCATGTAAGCACTAACTCCGTACGGTTTTGATCGGTTTAGTTTGGAAATTCTACATAAGTTCTGTAGTTATAATAGCTGTGCAGTATTAAATTAAGCAGTAAATTAATATTGTTTAATGAAAAATAATATATCAAATTGTTCGGAACAATCATAAAATACCTTGTTAAAACGAATATATTATATATACTTGAAAAATTATTATTATGTTGTGTGATTATATAGTTTAAAATCGAATAATTATTACTATAATAATGTATGGTTTACAAAATTTAATTTCATGATTATATTTTTATACTTGTTTATAATTCACCATTATGTAAATAGAATACGATAAACATAATAATAATATTATTTACACTATAATATTAAGATTATAATTTATATTTTAGGAGCTAAAACAGGCAAAATATATGAAAATAAATTTGCACAAAAATTATAATTTATTACAATATATGTATAAAAAAATATTAAATATACAAATTTCTAGCTTGGTTACAATTTTCAAATTCTAATAATAATTTTGTACGCATTGCTAGAATTAGTGACGGCGCACTGATAAAGCAAAATAACTACATCCATGTAAACAAGTAGGAAATAAGTATAATATTATTTTGATGCAACACTTATTAGATGACGCATGATCAAAATTCAGAAACCCTAAAAATTGGAAATTATAATATCGTAATCTCAGTTTTTGTTTAAAATATAATACCAACCAAATAAACAAACACCGACCCTAAAACAATGAAACTATAATAGTAATGCCGTTGGGGTGTAAAGTTTTAATCTGAGTAGCAAAACAAAAATAAAACCTTCCTAGTGATTTACGAGAGATTTTTTGACACCCTCACAATTCTTACTTCTGTCGCATAATATCGAATATATTGGAATTTACAAAAGAAGTGAGAAAAAAGGAAAACGACCCCAAAACTTTTCAACCGGGAAGAAGGTGACTTTTTTCAACCTCTGAAACACTCATTACACACTCGAACCAGCCACCGCAAAATATATAACACCGAATTCGTGTGTACATAGTGATATAGGTACCTATATCGTGAGAAAGAAAAAAAAAATGTCAGTGGTTGACTTTTACTGCTGCAGTTAGTTAGTTATCAATATGCGTATTATATAAGGTAGACACCAAACTGACCTATAGTAACCAAATCGAGTAGCCACTGCGTCATTGCGATCTCCGAAATGTCGAAGAGTCACCAATTAATCAAAGTGATCACAGATAGTATGTAAAATCAAAAATCGTTTTGTTCGATACTTTTTCAATGCATTGATGACATCGACTTTCGTTGATAGATAATAGTTATACCACTGACTGAGAAATGAATTAATGCTGATAGTGCGTGGGTACTTGTCAAAGCAATGCATTTTCAGAAAAGTAAAAGAATACATTTTTCACAATTCGATAGACTTTGATTTATAAATCAGTGATATTTTTACCGTTAAATGATCACTAGACGTTATTACGTAATCGAAATATAATTATGCTACGATTATAAAAGAAACTGAAAAATTAAAATACAAAATGCGAGATTGAATACATTTTAAATTTAAACGTATTTACAACTTA